TAAAAATAGGAAAAGAAAATTTTTTTAAAAAAATTAAATAAAGAAAAAGAAAAAATTAGACCTGAAAAAAGTAGTTAGGAGGTGAGAGAGGCAGTTTGTGGGTCCAGATTGGCTGCTATGGTCTGAAAAGAGTTCCAAACAAAAGGAACTCCTTTCTATCTGGGCTTTCATGTTTGACAGTGACTAATGTTTTTGGACACAACTACTCAATCTTAGTGCTCTGTCCCTTATTCATACCCTACTTTGTCTCCTTTCTTATTCATTTACATAAAGCAAAATGCCAAAAATAATACCTCCCACTTTTTTAAATAATATTTTTCTCCATCCCAAAATCAATGCTAGGTCCACATTCTAATTTGGTTTTTTATCCTTAAAATTCACACAACTACGTATATTTTTGTCAAAATGAAAATCTAAAAGATAGTTTCCTGGTTTTGTTGTTTGAAAAGGACACAAAACGTTACTTACATACTTGTTTAATGTTGTGCCATATGTAAGTTTGTTAAGCAATGATGATTCCCCTTGGATGAGATTGCAAATCAAAAAGTTTTACTATCATTATCGCGTGCATCAAAATCCCACCAAAATAACTCTTGAATCATACCGTTTTGAAATTTAGTTGACAACTTCATAGCCATGTATATGATGATATCACCAAAATAAAATTTTAAAAAAACGTCATTAACTTTATATTTCATTTTGCTAAATATTTCTGGCCAAACCCACTTTGGCACTTGGTAATTCTTAGGAGATAAATTTTTAAATTAGGTTATTGTAGAGTTGGAGAATAATTTTTCTAAATATTATCATAAAAGTAAATTGAATGCAATTCTTAAATTTCTATACCCTCCGCAAAATTTTTGTCTAGTTTTTTTAAAGTTATTTTAAACTATCAAGTTAGTTATTTAAAAAAAAATTTATAACGCTTTAGTTTTTTTTTTTAATTTTCATTACAATAAATTACAAATTTATATATTATTTGAACTGGTTTTTTACGTTGATAACGAATATGTAATTAGTTTTATATTTGGTTGTGTATTTTGGTCGGATCGTTGATTTTTCATTATGTATTTCGTCCATTTTTATCTGATTCTCATGAACCTTAACTTGCTTGATAAATTTGATTGCATATTCGTGATCAGCACGAAAAATCAGTTCAAATGGTATATGAGTTTGCAATTTATTGTAACGGAGATTTTTAAAAAAGGACCAAAACGTTAAAAAAAAAACTTAAGGGACTAATTTGATATTTTAAAATAATTTAAAGGACTAAACCAGTAGTTTTGCCAAAAAATAATGGATCGAGAGTGTAAAATATTTTTACACCATCAACCAATGATAACTATATATTTCTTCAATTCAAATTAAAAATTTTAAACTAATTATATATAACAAAATGATATATTCCTATTAGATAACAGTATAAAAATGTCAGTGCATCACCATTAAACTTCTATATTATATATAATGGACTTAATTAAGGAGTTCAATATAGTCTACATAAATAATTACGTAATATGTAATTATATTTACAAGGAAGTTGATTGAATATTTCACTTTGTAAATTTGTTAACACGGTTCTTAGGTCATACTAGAAGATATATAGAGACAGTTTGTTTCGTTTTTTTATAAAGATTTTTATAGTGTAACATAATTTTGTTTTAAAAAAATTTATAATTAATATAAAAAATTTAAATAAAAATTTGCTTTAATTTTTTTTGAATCAAAGGAAAAATATATTAATTCAAAAAAACACCATACAACCAAGGTGATCCCTAGAATCCAACCAACTATCAAGACTAGTTACATCGTCAAATTAACTAAATGCTTTCTAATTTTTTTATGGTTCCAACCTCTATAAACCACACTATCTGTGATTTTTGTACTAATTATATTGCTATTCACAATATTTCCAAAGACAATATCATTTCTATGATTCCAAATTTCATACAAAATTCCAGCCACAATCATCTTCAAAACAATAATTTTTCATCCTTTGCCATTAGACTTCTCATGAGTCATTTAATCTCTTCATCCCAAATTTCAGGAGAATGATTCATATCAAACCAATTGACACCTCTATCCAAATAGCCTTGGTTTTACTACAGCCAAAGAAAAGATGATTAATAGATTCATCCTCCACATTACAAAGGCTACATATACTGTCATGAAGCATCCCAAACCTCTTCAGCCTATCTTTCGTAGCAATCCTGCCATGACAGATAAGCCACATACAAAACACAGCTCGAGATCTAGCATAGTTTCTCATCATTAGATTCTTCCACATCACATTCTCATGATCATCATTCAAAACTGCATAAAAATCTTTAGCTTTAAACTTCTGCTGCAGCATAGCCTTATTCCACACCTGCTGAACTTTGTTCTTGCTCACACGTTGATTCACAATATGCTTGAACACCCAAGATTAATGCACCTTAATATCATAATCCAGAACTTCAGAATATTTCAGATAGACTTGATGAATCCATTTAACCCACATGTTATCAGCCTTTTTACACAAGTTCCACAAACACTTGAGCATTAGAACTTGGTTCTAAACACTACTAAAAAAAGCAATTTAGAGAGAAAAATTTGTGAAGGAAGAAAATCCCTCACTAATTGCGATGAATTTAGGGAGGGAAAATCGTGTACATGATTAATGGGACTTGCGTAAATATTAGTGAAGAAAGCTATGAGATAATTAGTCCATCATAAAAATTATCTCACAAATTCCGTCATAAATTTAACCCAAGTAAACTTAGTGAGGGAGTTAGAGAAGATATTTATTTCTCAATAATATTTCCTTCACAAATCCCCTCATAAAAGTGTTAAATATTTTTGTGAGAAAAATATTCCCTCTCTAATATTTATACTTAAAGAATTGAATTTAAATTTCTCCTTATTTACACTATACCTTGAAATTTAAATAAAGAATAATTTTATATTAATATGAATTTTAATATTATTGTTAATTTAAATACTACATGCATCTTTTCATATTTTCTCTTGCAAAATATGAAAAGACTAAATAATTTTATTAATTCAGCAACCATTTGTTTTTCAAAAATTTCCCGCACCAAAAATTAAGGGTATGAAGAAATCAATATATTACCAAAAATTTTAAATAATTATATATATATATATATATATATATATATATATATATATATATATATATATATATATATATATATATATATATATATATATATATATATATATATATATATATATATATATATATATATATATTAATTAAATTAAATTAAAAAATGTTATCTTAAACTTTTCTGTTTCCCTCTCACTCCTACTAAACCAATTTTAAGTTCCCTCTCACTAATTTATCAATTTTATTTTCCCTCTTTCATTAGTCAATTTTACTTTAATAATTAATAATTATTTTCATTTTATTCAATTGTTTTCTCACGCTAGCTTTTCTTGTTTTCTTTTTTTCATAGTTTTCTCTAAAGTTTGTTGTAGTCCCATCCCTTAACCCTAGTTTTCAACAAGTCCAACAATCACCATGAACACTCCTTCACTGTAACTTTCTGTTTTTGATCTCGTTATCTCTCACTCAGAAAGCCACCAACAGTTGAAAGCAACTCTTGTGCGGAAACTTGGAAAGTTGAAACCCCTCGTAATCTCTTTTCAAAAAGGCTTTTGTTGAATCATTTTCTTACAGATTTTGAAGCATTTTGTTGAATAGTTTTCAAATAGATTTTGAGTTCTACAAAAATTAAACTGAGAGTTAGTTCCATAGTTTATGTTTAATTGGGATGGTCAAGCTGTTTAAGTTAGTTTCATAGTTTAACTATTTACCAATTAGTGGCCCAAAGTACAAGTTATACAATTTCAACAATTAAGTAATCATGGATACATCACCCTAACCATGGTGCAAATACCTCTAAAACTAAATGTTATATCCGAGAAGCAATATAAGCACAATTTCCCTTACTACCATCACAACCACAAATAATTATAACAAAAGATATGTAGAATCGACCTTTCTTACAATAAGCATCAATCCTAATATTATAAGTTACACTATTCGGACTAAACCCACGCTTAACCATTTCATGATAAAATAGCTCACCAGGAGTAATATCGCTTGATTCTTTAAAATCTAACAACAAAATATTCATACTCTTAGTACTATCCTTAAACGTATGCACAAATTTTACAAAAACTGACCTAGCCTCCTTCATTTGCTAATATGAGGATGTTGTTGTTTTACTTGTACTGCTAACATGCTAATGTTTCTTCTTGCTGCAGGTTTTGAAGAGAGATTTTAGAAGGACTCTTTGCTAAGTTCATCTACTGTTTGACCTACCTTGGTTAAGGTAATTTGATCTAGTTTCAATTAGCTTCTACCTTGTGACTGTGAAAATTGCTCAATTAAAATAAGTTTATGGTTTTCACCTCATATGACAATCCATCTTTAAAATTTCTTCAAAATTTGTTATATGAATAAAATATATTGGTTTCTCAAAATTTCTTATATGAATAAAATATATTGGTTTCCCATTCATATCTTAAAGCAGTTTCTTTTCTATCTTATACACCGATGTCTAAAGTACAAGAGAGTAAATGCATTTCTATCCTATTTTTAATATATTTTGAAACGAGTAATCTCTTTTGATTTGATGAGCTAAATAAATTAAGTGATTTATGTGTTTAATATGCAAAGCCTTAAAGCTTCTAGTTTATTTCTATCATTTGATTGAAGCGATACATGACCCGTGATTAATTCTTCATTGTGTAAATAATGCTAAAAAATGGAAGTACCTGAAAATAGGAAGTGGATGAATAATAGAGTTGATTATCACAAGAATATCACTGCATGATTTAATATTGGAGTTCATGAGTTTATTATGTTTGCTTTAGCACAAGATAAAAATAACATTGGAGGAGGGAATATTAGATGTCCGTGTAAGAATTGCAAATGTTTGAAATTTGGAAATCCAGAAGAAATGAAGGAACATCTATGCAGGAGAGGATTCATGAGTGATTATTATTATTGGAAAAACCATGGTGAGGTGATTCCCCCAATTCCCCTAGTGGTTGCTAGTCATTCATATTATGGAAGTAGATGTCAGAGGGAAATGTTTGATAATTATGAGCAGTTAGTAATGGATGTTGCAGAACCAGAAATTGGAAACTATGTAGAGCAAGAAGGTCAAGACGAAGAAGATGTAATGGAAGAATATCCTAATGAAGAAGCACGAAAGTTCTTTGAAATGTTGAAAGCAGCACGATCACATTTATGGCATGGTTGTGATAGATATTTTGTGTTGTCAGCATCTTTAACAACATTAAGTTTGAAAGCAGACTATGGGTTATCTGAAGGCTATTTCAATGGATGGATGCAGTTTATGGGAAATGCTTTGCCAGAGAATAATTGTATGCCTAAAATTTTTTATCAAGTAAGGAAATCGATTGCTGAACTAGGGTTGGCAAGTTTAAAAATTGAATATTATGTGAAAGGATGTATGTTGTATTATAAGGAGGACGACACACTCCAAAAGTGTAAAATATGTAGAGAGGAGTGATACAAGCATATTAGAAGACGGGGGCATGATAAATTAGTTCCACGGAAACATATGTGGTATTTCCCACTTGTTTCGCGACTACAACGTTTGTATTCTTCATTACAACCAACTCGCGAAATGAGATGGCATCATGAGAATCAAAGGGAGAATGGTTCATTATCTCATCCGTCAGATGCAAAAGCTTGGAACACTTTGATGAAACATGGCATGACTTTGCTCGAGATCCTCGAAATGTTAGATTAGGCTTGTGTTCAGATGGCTTTGCTCCATTTGACAAAACAGGCAAGCTTTATTCTTGTTGGCCTGTGATTATTACTCCATATAATTTGCCACCTTGGATGTGCATGAGAAGGGAGTTTATGTTCTTAAACATTATAATTCCTGGCCCATCTAATCCAAAGAGGAACATTAATGTGTATTTGCACCCTTTGATAGATGAATTGAAAATGTTATGGGACGATGGAGTTATGACTTATGATGTTTCCTTGAAGCAAAACTTTTTGATGAAGGCTGCAGTAATATGGACTATTAATGACTCAAATTCAGGAGCTGCAAACCACCTTTACTTTTGTCTTTATACATATTCTTCCAAGCCACAGGGCTTTTCCTACTAATGGTATTTTTACCAATCCATATAAAGCTCCTACAAATAGCACCAACCTTATTAATCACCTCTTTAGGAATGGGAAGCATTGCAGCCAATACTGGGCAATAACAGTAGTGACACTCTTGACCAATTGAACTCTTCCAACATAACTGAGTAATTTCGAGGACCAATGGTGGATTCTCCCAACAATTCTGTCAATCAGAGGCAGGTAGTGTTTAATGTTAAGCTTCCTACTAGACAAAGGGATATCAAGATATTTAATAGGTAAAGCTCCCTATTGAAACCCTGTAATAACCCTGATTTCCTCTTTAATGCAGTTATCTAGCCCACCAAAGAAGATTTTACATTTTCCCTGATTAACCACCATACCAGTAGAAGCTGAGAAATTATTGAAGGCTTTCATCAACAAATCCATAGAAATAAGATCTCCCCTACAGAAGAGTAAAACATCATATGTAAATGTGAAGTTTATAAGGTTCAATCCTTCACACTTGGCATGATGATTAAAGTTGGGATTATACTGCAGCTTTCTCAAGGTCCTATGCATATACTCCATCAAAATTACAAAAAATAGGGGGGAAATGGGATCCCCCTGTCTTATACCTCTCTTGGATTGAAGATACTTAGAATACTCCCCATTAGTATTGAATTTATAGAACACGAAATTTATACCTGCCATAAGCCAATGAATAAATTGACAGGGGATGCCAATCTCTTTCATAATGCACTCTAAGGCTTGCCAATTGACCATGTCATAAGCCTTTTTCAAGTCAATTTAAATCATGGTCCTAGGGGTTCCTCATTTACTAGAATATCCTCTGAGCAACTTATAGGATAATATGATGTGGCTATGTATACTCTATCCTGGCACAAAAGCTGCCTGACACGGGCCGATAATACTTTGAAGGACCCCTTCCAATCTATCAGCCAAAATTCTAGCAATAATCTTGTAAAAAGTTGTACATCTGGCTATTGGTCTAAAATCTTTTAGCTGACTAGCACTATCATACTTAGGTATTAGAGTAATGACAATACTGTTAAAAGCTTTTAATAAAGTACTTATGTCAAAAAACCTTCTCACTGCAGCAGTCACATTGGCTTTAATAGCTGACCAGCAGGCTTTATAGAACCTAACTCCATAACCATCAATCCCAGGAGCTTTCAAATCTCTCATTCCTTTCAAAGCTTTAGTAATTTCCTCTTCAGAGATAGGTCAAATTAGAAGCTCTCTTTGCTCCATATTCAACTGCTTACCCTTTCTCATAGCCTCTATATCCACATGTTTAAGATTGCTATCTTGTTTTCCCATCAGTTGGTTGTAAAAATCCAAAACCGTTTTTTCAATCTCATGTTGATCTTTAGTTAAAGAGCCATCATCTTTTTGAATGTGGTTCAAGCATTTAGACCTCTGTTTAGCTTTTATGGAGGCATGGAAAAAGGTGTTGTTCCCATCCATGAATCTAAGCCTTAATTTTAGCCCTTTGCCTCAAGATTTTTTCCTCAATCTCATTGAGAGATATAACCTCTTCAGTGAGCCTTTTCACCTCTTCAATGATTTGGCTATTCATTATGTCCCCACTAAGATTAATCTGGTATAACTTTAGCTTTTCTCTAGCTTTCACCAAGTTCTGTCTCATATTGGATATAGGCTGCTGAACTTTCTCAGCTTAAGTTTTAAACTCTTGAGTTTATCCCATAGAACATACATAGGCTTGCCTCTTATAGGTTAATTCCAACTATTTTTCACAACATCTATAAAGCTAGGCATATCCACCATACAATTGTTGAATCTGAAGTATTTCTTCTTGTTTCTATTTTCATTTTTTTGGGTAACATAGAGTAAGGCATGATCAGAGATGTTAGGAGGCATTACAATCAATGTAGAATCCATATTCTCTTGGAACCATTCAGTATTTCTCAGCAGTCTATCAATTCTAGAATATATAGTCCCCATTTCATGCTTATTGGACCAAGTAAAATAGTCACCAATATTATCCCTCACAATAAGACCAGTATTAGCCATCATGCTTTGGAAACCCTCATACTCCTTTTCTGTAACCAAACTTCCTCCGATGTGATCCTGTGATTTGGCCACATTGTTAAAGTCTTCCATCACACACCAAGGCCCTTGAAGATTGACATGAAAATGCTCAAGCTATTTCCAAAGAATCCTTCTCTTGCTCAGAAGGTTATGAGCATAAACAGCAGTCATCTAATACTTAAACCCTCCAGTAACATCATAAACTCCACAATGAACACAATTAGTTGTAACACAAATTAAAGCACAATAAATATATTAACAACTAATCATCCCTTATCCAACCATAGGAACCTAACCCTCTCTTAGACAAAATAGGAGAATAAAATTACCTCATCCTCCCCATGAGATTTATCAAAACCCTGTCAAATCCAGTTTGGGACCGACCTCTACCTGTGTTCTGAACACAATAGGTTGCTGAAACTATTAAATAACATGATCTAAAAATACAAAATATCACAAAAAGATATGTACATGCTACAAAATTGGCGTAGATCATAACCAAAAAATTCCTAAGATTCACTAACCTTTTTCTTAGCAACATTCATTACCTTCTTGTTTCCATTTGATGCCTTGGAAGTTTTTTGCAGCATTAAGAAAACAACTCAACTATTAAACTACTTTTGAATAAAAACACCATGATCAATGTGAACAACCTCTGTAATAGTCAGATCAATTAAAATTGTCATTAAAAATGATTACAGTAGAAAACCCTAGAAATTTTGATGGGGGCAAATGCCCTTTCTTTTGAATATAACTTATTAAGTCATCCTGTAAAATAAACATCAATATGAGGTTGAGGTTCATCCATGTGATAGTTATATTGGCAATTTTTTGGAACCTAATAAGCTCCCACATAAGTAACATGGATGACTAACCCCAAGTCTTTCTTTGAAAATGGGAGTATACTTGTATGCTCCACCTCCAGCAGTCTAGTATTTCATAGCCACCAAAGCAGAAGACAAGCAGAAAAGGGATTAAAAAAATTATCCAATTTGACTGCTTTCCAAAATAGTGAGAAAGTTTAATGCTTTAGCACCAGGTTTCTGTATAGAAAAATAAAAAATAGACATTAATAATTTCAAAGTTGAATGTTTTAGGTTAAACAAAAAGAAAACAATATAGAAAAATCAAGGATTGAAACAAACACAGTGAGAAGAAGATTGTCGAAAATCTCAAAAGCAGGTCTACAACCCAAAAGCAGGTCTACATCTTTTTCCATTTGAAATCGAAACAAATTTCCATAAACATATTTATAGCTTGAACTCATATGGTTCTTTTTTCACTTTGTAAGTCGATGTTGCAGTTTCTATTTGATTTCAATAAGAAAAATAGGAAGAATGAAGAAGAAGAAGAGGAATAAGGAAGAAGAATATGTTAGACGACGGTGCAGATCTAGAAGGGGGGGTTGAATAGATCACTTGTTAAAAACAGAGTCGGCGCTTACCAATATTTGGTTTTAAAAATTTTTATAGGCGGAAGCGGCCGAAGAACTATATTCGTCTAAAATGAACCCTTACCGAAAAGACTAGATATACGCAAAGCCTATGGAATCTGATAAAAACGAGATTATAGAATCACTAATTTGAACACACATCAACTAGATTTTATTCACTATAAGTTTGGACTGTTTCCGATGCATGAAAAATATAACCTAATTGAAAAGACAACACTAGTGTTTGTGTTCACGCAATCAGTCGAACACTTGGTGTGCAAGGCACCACAAATGAATTTCAATATGTGAGTGAGGTGTTATAGTATTCAATTACAATCAAGGATTGTAATAAGGTTTCTAAAAATGGTTCAGCACTACACACATAAGAATTTTGATCAATTAAATTGTTTGCACACAAACTCAGAAACTAAACAATTGAAAAATAAAGAGAGAACACCAATTTGTTGAGGCAGTTCCCCCATCGTCCTCGCTCGGGGTACGTCTGCCCTCAATTCTAAAATTAGAATTGAGACCTATATATATAAATTGTTTGCAAATGTTTACAAGAGAAATAATAGAATTCAAACAATCAAACCCAATTATTGATGTATAGCCCATTCCTTCTCTTCCCTTGATTCAAGCTGAATCAAGTCCTTCGAACGCGATGAATAAACCTCCGATTACGGCACACCCTTTGAACAACCCTATGGTCTTCAAATCTTACCCGACTGATTTCAATCACCAACGGTTCGAACCCGAATCTTCCTCTCACAATCCTCCGGTTACCGCTACTAAACTGACAGAACCTCCCATTCTTCGATTACCTTCGCTCGGCTAAATCTGTGATAGACCAATTCGTGCAAAAACCCCCAAAATCCAAGATTCTTGGAGGACAAAACCCTAATGATTTTATTCAATAA